ATTTCTACATCAGATGAACTTTTAACTCTTTATTTCAACATCAAAACTATTCAAATTAGTGAGCATTATGTAGGTTTTTCTTTTCTTTTCATGAGAAACATACTTTTTTCTGCTTTCCTGGGGCATTTGGAACACTTGGAAACACCTGAAATATGAATTCTGTGTTTATTAAATATCTTTCACATTTGAAAACAGTTGATTCATTTTAACTCATTCTAGCACATGCTGGTTGCATGTGCTTTTCTGGATCTCATATACAATGAATATGGGTTATTATAAAAACAAGGAGGAGCAAGGGAGTGTTTGTGTGCAGTAGTGTTCTGTATATCACTGAAGGCTGTGGGTGCAAAGTTGGTCATACAGATCCAAAGCCTCTATTACCCCAACACTTCTGCAAATAACACTGAAGTTCAGTTTGGTCAGATTTCTAAAATTGGTTTAAATGCTTGTGACTGCATTGAGTGTGCATGCTGGGTTTTTCCAGGAGGGATTGTTGGCTTGATTTGAATTGCCTGTGCTATGGGCATGTTGCAAAATCACCACCAATCCTCTCCCTGTAGGCACCATTCCTTGTTTATCCCAGATCACAGTCTGTCTGATCTGGTGTTTTCACTGTGATACCATAATAATAGTAATAAAAAGAATGTAAGATTAGAATTCAATTTAATTACATTTTTATTTACCTTACAGATAAAAGCATCTAAATTATGGCCTTTTCCTAGCTTTTCATGCAGCCATAATGGTACAGGCTTCATTTAATTTTTTAAAATAAATTTTTCCTTTTTTTTTCATTTTTTCTTTGCCACATGGATCTAGAGGCTGATTTTAGAATAAACCCACAGCTGTTGTTAGGCTTGCAGTGAGATCCCAAGAGTTGGCAATGTTACTGAGCTTGTTTTATTTCAGCTCAAAAATCTGGAGGGGATATCCCCAGGAAATAGCACCTTGAGTTCCCACAGTGCTTCCTCATCCCTTTGTGAAACTGTGGGATAGATATTCCTAACATGAACTTTTGCTTAACCCACTGAGGCTTTTTCATTCATCTTCTGGTCTCTTCCTCCCTCCTCCTCCTCTCCCTTGCAGCTCAAACCTTGTCTCATGGTAGTGGAAAACACGCCTGCTGCAAGTGCCAGTACCTTGAATTTCAGACCCTTGTTACTGAGCAGTTTCTGGAGCTTTTGAGGTCAGGCAGAGATTTTGATCAGGTGGTGGTTTGTTGTTTTTTTGGGGGTTTTTTTTGTTCTCCTTTTCTCACTTATCTTCCCTCTTCTTAAAAATCTCTCACCCATATCTGCCGGAAGCCAGGAGCCGTGCAGTGTGGGCTTTCCTTTCCTTTTTCTGCTGCTCACTCTCTGCTCCCCTGCCTGAAGAGGAGAGATTCAGCACACAAGTACAGTGCAGCTCTGCTTTGAAAAGGGCCCAGTCTCCTTGGGCAGTGCTGGGAGGTTTAAATAAAAAACACTTCCTACTTACTGTCCCATCCCAGCTTGGGTGGGGCTTGGAGCAACCTGGTCTAGTGGAAAGGTGTCCCTGCCCATGCTAGGATGCTAAGGTCCCTTCCCCCCCAAACCATTGTGTGATTTTATGATCTGTCATCTTGTCTTACATGCCAAATGGGCAGGAGGTGATCCTGTAGTTTCAGCCATCTAATCAGGGAGCGGGACATGGCCTGAGAGTATTTTGAAGTACTTTTGTTTCTCCTCTCTCTCTCTGTTTCAAGCTGTCATCCTTCTCTAAGCTACCTTTTTGCAGATGAAGGTTGGGCTGGTAAATCTGTTCTTCATTTCAACCAAAAATTTCCCTTCTGGGTTTGCCTTCATGGCACAGAAGACTGACCAGAGCTGGAGGACTTCTTCCAGGCTTTTTCAGTGGCCCATGTCATGGTTATGCAGAAAGGAGAGCTAGTGAACATTATCACCCTTCTCAGGCAGTCATTGCTTTTTTAACCAAGATACTTTCTTCTGTGAAAGTTGAGCTCAGAAATGTTTCTTACAAAATGTTCAGTTCACTGGTATCTGTTATGTATTTTGATGGGAAACTGTTGAAAAGGGAAGATGAGAAAGATTTGACCCAGGATGGTTAAATCTCATAAGAAGACAGATTTCCGTTTCTGGCAAAGCACAGCAAACTGGATTTTTGTGCTGAACAAAAGCAGATTTTCAAACTTCTTGAAGGCTGGAGTTTGTATACCTATTTTTACTAATAAATCTTAGTAAGTATTTGCATATCTGTTTTTATCTGCTAGTAGAGCAGCTTGGATATGCACTTCTATACAACCACTACAAAAATTCCGAGTCTGGACAAAATAAGCATCTTTCACAGCCAGGAAGTACAAAATGCGTAACAGCAAAGCTTTTTTCCTGGAAGAAAGTGTGTTTTTATCATCTCTCAGTAAAACCCAGGACTTGCAGTGAGACATGCAGGAAAGGCATGAACAGTGAAGCTCAGTGTATGAGGGCAAAGTGTCAGGCAGTGTCTTCCCAAATGGCCTTGGAAGTGATTACCTGAACAACAGGAACAGTGGTGGGAAAATGAGTTAACACTTGTGAATTCTCAATTGTCCTCTCTGCTTTAGACCATTAGTGCTGGGGTGGAGCAGAGTATGAAAGGGATGGTTTGAAGGAGGCAATAGATTGAACCATTCTCTATCTCATTGCTTAATTTTCTGTAACGAAGGTGACTGCTATTAAGAATGAGAGCTTGGAGTTTGTACTTGGCTGGATGTGCGAAACTTCTTACTTTCTCAAAAGGTTTAAAGCTTTTCATAAAGTGTAACACAGACTGACAGCTTGAATTTGAAAAGAAACTGCTCTCTTTGTAAGCAGAAGTGACTGATCCATCTGGGCCATGTGAAGGTTGCAGATTGCTGGAGGGGTGGACACATGTGCGGTGTTGCAGGGGACTCTGCCTGTCATCTTGCTCCAGACTGAGCCTTTTGAAGTTTCTGAGGACCCTTTGAGGCTCAACAAGTCATGCAGGCAGCTTTGTGGGTACCGATTTGGAGATGCCTGTGAGGGTCCTTGAAGCTGATGAGAAAGTGGAGCAGACTCGTTGCGCACAGTTCTTTAATCGGCTGCTGTTGCCCCTGTGAGTGGGTGACTGTGGGCTTTATGCTCACTGCCTCGCTGTACTCTTGAGAGTGGCCTCCAGTACAGTGGTTTCTCGTACATGGCAGCTGAAGAGAAAAACACTCCAGACAGAAATGTCTGTGTTTTCTTGATAAAGGAAGGTCGTTGCTTTAGTTACTTGTAAAGGCTCAGTTGACTTCAGTGCCTCTGTGGATTTATACCAATCACCATCAGAAACTGGCTGCTTCCTTCTGTTTCTCTGTGGAAATGTTGATTCTACCTAAATCAAATGTAATTCTGCTGAAGTAAAGTCATGAGTGAGATAAATGGTGGAGAATGGTGGAAGATTTAACCCATGAGTCACAGAAGGGGGTGTGTGGCTGTGCTGGGGCAGAGCAGGGGCAGACGTTGCCACCGCCATTGCCTGCACAGGTTTCTCTACCTCTGATGAACCATTTGACCGTTTCCCCACCCTGCTCTGCCCATTCCTGTTGCTGATCGTGGTGTTTGCTCATTATGACTTTGCTTTCTAGATTGCTTGGCTTCCTAGAGATAGCCCTGTGGTTTGCTGGGGGGCCCTTGCCCAAGAAAGGTTTGTGGATTTTAGGGCAAGACCTCTCAGCAAAGATTCTGAAAACTATGTGTAGTTTTACCTGATTGATGGCATTCATTTGTGTTTATATACCTTCTTGAATTCCTGATTATTTAAAAACAATCACAGCTCTGCCTCTTCTAAGGAAATTTGTGGCTGGGCAGGAAAGGGAGATCTGAAAATGGCTAGTCTCTGCAACAGGGAGGGGACATCATAGAATCACCGAGTAGTTTGGCTTGGAAGGGACCTTTAAAGGTCATCTGGTCCGATCCCCAATCCTGCTCATAGGTGGGACTGGGTGTCAGTAGATGCATCCGTGGTAGAAGGAAGACAGGGAAATTCCCATTTCTTGCACCCCTGAGCAGGTCAATGTCATCCTCTGTTCGTGTAATGTTCCTGGGGTTTGGCTCCATGTCTCTCAAGGGGGATGCAGGGCTTGGGGGGGGTGGTGCACAAGCTGCTCTGTCTGGGGTGATCAAAACAGATTTAGCATTTTGTGAATCAGTTCTGATTCAAAATGAAATATGTGAACCTGAAGGTGGTGAACACTTCAGTGTTTTCTCACCACCTCAATGGGCCAGTGTAGCTGCTCTGCAGTTTGGTAAGATCTGAGGAATTACTGCTTTGAGTGGTGGAAAATCAGGGTTTAATTTTCAAAAAGAGAGGACTGAATAGAAATTTCTATTGACTTCATTTACCTACTAAGTTATTTTTCATTCTGATCTACAGCATCTTTTTTCCTTTCTTTCCTTTGGATTGGTAAAAAGAAAGCCCATGATAGTGCTGCAGAAGAACAGCTGTCTCACAACGCTGAGAACATCTTGCATAGAGGCAGTTTCACAGAGCAGGCTCAGTTCATTTCAGGAGTGAAAAAATTGCTGCAATTTGATGGCTGTTGGGTGTTTGTGAACAGTGTGCTGGCTTTGGTGTAGAAGTTGTACCACGATAGTTTTCATTCCTTCCAACTTATCCCTTTGCTGTTCTGCCTTTCAGGTCTCTGCTCTTCTGTGACAGCTGCTTTGGTGATCTTTACCTGTGATAAATCTGATTTAAAACGCAGTTGTCATGCCCTTAGCTGCTAGTCTGTCACAGTCTGGGGTAAAAACCACTGATCTCTACCTGAGAAAGACCTTGTGAAATAAACCTTGCGGCTGGCATTAGCGCCAAATCACATTAATTTTCAAGACTGAGGAGTGTGTGTGTGTATCTGTCTGTCTGGCCCTGGAGCCATGCTCTGCTCACTCCCATGATTAGAGGCTGTCCAGAGTGAAGGAGAGCGTGCCTGTCCTGCCCTGCAGGATCCCTGCTTGCCTGCCCACTAACCCAGCCTCACTTTGCAGGGAGGGAGCCAGGGAGCCGGACTCGTGGAGCACCCTGTCCCACACCGTGCACTCGGGGGACTACAGCGTGAAGCACCACCGCGGGCTGGACGTGTACCTGCTGACAGCTGAGGCCAAGGAGGGGACAGCAGCCAGCTGGGAGAGGGACATTCAGCACCTGCAGATGCACATGCAGAGCCACCAGCACCAGGTGAGCAAAAGGCTGAGGGGATGGAAGAGAAGAAGATCTGGCTAGTTGCAGCCTGGCACCTGGGGAGGATTTTTACATGTCAGCATCCTTCAGGGCATGTTTCCCTAGGCGTTTTCTCTGGATTCATTATCAAGCATCCAGGTGGACATCTGTCCATTTGCTTCTTATTTGAGCTTGGGGAGATCTGATTAAGCTGTATTAGGCAGCAAATGTTCTCATTCAGAAGAGAAGCAGGCTCAGGGCTGTGCAACACCAGGTCTGCTTTGCCTCTCTGCTCCCAACTCCTGCCTGATCTGTTAGTTTTGGACCCACTTGGATGGGCAGGAACACCTTTTGGAGACATGCTGACCCTCTGCCTGTCTGGCAGCTTAAGACAGGCTCTGGAGTGAGGCTGGGGTGTGGGCTTTAGGCACAGTGGGCACATCTCTGTTCAGATGGAACGTTCAGGGTCAGAGAGGACACTGAGAGGAAAGTTTCTGAGACAGGTGATGGAAAAATGGCTGTTTCAGTAGCAATTCAGTGTAGGACTCAGAGGGCAAGCCTGCTTTGGCCACAACAAGGTTTGTGTCCATAATGGTCCCTTCACTATGCTACTCTCAAACTCTGTGGTGGCTGGACCACAGGAGCTGTAGGGCTTTGGAAAGGCTTTCTCCTGCTGCTTTAAAATCCATGCCACAGGGTCTGAGTTGAGAAAGTGAAACATCAGAACACTTTTGTGCCATTTCTCAGAAACACCCACGTGTCTGTCACCGTTGGCATCACCTGTGAGGGGCAGGGTCTAAACAACAGGATGTTTTTTGTTTCTTTAACTAAGGGAGGGGAGAACTGTTGTGTGCAGCCAGTGGGCTGGGGGAATGAGCAGAGGAATGGGCTGTGCTGAGCCATTTTCAGCCTTCCTGAATACCTGAGATGTTGATTACTCCCAATCTCAACAGGAACTGGTGGCATGAGTGGCAAATCCAGGCTAACTGTGAAATCTCTTCCCTTTTCCATCAAAAGACCCTAAGCCATGGCAAGCATATCCAGCTCACTGCTTGTTTGCTCATGCAAATGCCAGATTGGGAACATTTTGCCTGACAATGAAATCAGAAATAGACTTTGCTTTCCACCACTGTTTTACTTCACATCTAATCTGATTTGAATTTGGAAAGCAGCCCTGTAATTATTTCATTTAGGTTTATTTTGGGTCAGTTGAAAGCCTGTTGGCTTCCTTTGGTGATGGCTGTATTTTTCCGGCTATCAGCAGAGTGACTTCACTGTGAGGATGCTGGGGCTGCTGCAGCCCGTCCTTTTCAAAACCCTGCTTGTTCCCAAGTAAGTGTTACTTTTGTGAGTCTGTCCATCCTGGCTAGGATCCAGGAGCACAGTCTCCATGCTCTGCTGCGGGGTTACAGCCACCAAAGGCTTGGCACACTGTTTGCTCTTGCAAAAAATATCTGCAGCCTGTGGGTACCACTGCACACAGAGCCCCATGTCCCATCCTGATGCTACTCAGGAGATGGAGATGCCATGCTGCTGCCTCCAGTGCTAGCCTGGCTTGGGATGCCTCAAAAGCAGGGAGGCATAGCTGACAGCATAGATGGGAGCTGGGCAGCAGGGTTATTTTGTATAGCAGGGTGATTGGTGGCAAACATCAGAAGCACGTTTAGTGGTCTGTGACTCAGTGAGTCTGTGGCACTGCTCAGTGTTGGCAAACCTCAGAGTGTGGAAAGACAAGCAAATGCAATATCCTTAAGGTAGCAGTGATGATTTTAGCCACTATTACATATGCAATACCCAGAAGTTCCCTGTGATGCATCAGTTAGCATAGTGGCTGCTTTAATTATCAGGGTGTTTAAGCTGCCAGTTTTGGTGTGAAGTTCTATTTCTCTGAGAACTAAAAACTTTAAAACAAAATTTCCAGGGAGCTGTTCAAGTTAGGCTCCTAATACGCATGTATTTTTTGGAATCCTTTGACAAAAATTGCAAGAAAAGCTCAGATTTTACATAACTCATTAGAGTTTTATACGCCTGGAGAGTTTCAGGCACTTAGTGAGAAACCAGTGTGACCTTGAAAAGCTTGTGGAGCAAAACCCCAAGCAGACCTGTGCAAAACACTCTCTTGGGTGTACACTGAGGGACCTGGGTTGCTCAGTAATTTAATAAGCCACTATTTCTAAGATGTGAACATTGATACGTTCTCTTCTACAGAGATGAGAATATGAAAGCAAATATTGAAACAGACGGTTCTTTTTAAGTAAAGGTTTGTTTGTGTCAAACTATAAAAGCTTGACAAAGCAGGTGCTCTGGAAGGAAAAGGCAGATTAGAGAGGAATTGATTATGGTCCTACTGTTCCATGATAATGCATGTATTAATTCTAATAATATGTCATAATTCTGAAATTTTTATTTCCAGTTAGGAAATAAATTTCAGATATTTAATTACGCCTGCAGTTCTCAGGAATAGATTAAATTATTAGTTCAGTCCTGTGAGCAGGAGACAGTTGGTGTGTTTGGACATTGCCAGCCAATGCCCATGTCTGAAGTAGCATTTCCGTCCATTGAGAGAAAATTGAGGAATGCTGGCAAGAGCTGGGGAGTGCTGGGTGGGGATCTGAAGCTTCTCTTGAGCAGCATTTGCTTGAAGTCCTTTGGGACTAGGCTGGTATATATTTGCATTATTTGGTAGACTGAATTCTGCTCTTTACTGATCTTGAATTTAAGTGCACTCAAGAACTGAGACTACAGTTTCCCAAAGAGCAATTACCAAGATTACAGTTCTTTTCAGTGATGGCAGATGGTGTAGCAGAGCAGGTAAAGAGACAAATTTCAACTTTGGGTTGTTTGGGCTGGCTTTAGGGAAAATTCTTCATGGGAGGGTGGTGTGGCATGGGAACAGATTGTCCAGAGAGGCTGTGGGTGCTCCACCATTGGAAGTTTGACAAGATAAAGTCATGGTTGACCTGATGCTGCAGTGGCAGTAGGCCAGTTTCAGGCAGGTGGTTGGGCTAGATGACCTTTAGATGTTCTTTTCAACCAACGTTTCTGTCATTGTAATAATTTCAATATTGCCTCCTGCTAGTAAAACCAACATGTAAAATACCCACTGCAGTACATTTGTAGCTCTCTCCTGGATGACACCAGGAATAGGATTCATGTGGAATAGGATTAGGTAGATACAGGTCTTGTGTAACTGCATGACAGTATAAACTTTTCTTTTTTTCCTTTTGTGTGTTGTTACAGAGTTTAAGGCAGCAGACAGAGCCTGTACTGGGAGACTCTGGAGACAGCTGTGCTAAAGGAGCAGAGGGTCATATGACCACCACCTCTCAGAGCCTAGAAGAAATGGCAAGAGAAGAAAGGCAGGAAAACCCATCTGATCTGGTTCACCTGGACATCGGGCAGCTCTCAGACCAAACCCAGCAGGAGGAGAAATGCAACAGCAGCAGTCTGGGAGCTTTTAATGATGCAACAAAAGACATGGTTAGCCCGGGGGGTGCAAACAGCCCAGCCAGCTTATGTGAAAGTAAAAACACAGAGATATTGTGTAAAAAGGAAGGAGAGGCGGGGCTAAGATCTGCAGAGGGCTCTGGGACTATATCAGATGAGGATACTCACTCCACTGTGAGCCTGTGTGCAAGTGTAAATGGTGCTGTAAATCTTCCATGCTCTGGAAATACAAATGAGGAAGCTGGAATGACATCGGCTGGAATTGTTCTGGATCAAGCTGGCGTGGGCAGTACAGACAGTGCCCATCAGGAAGTGCAAACTGCTGAGGAACTTGCTGTCAGTGCTGCTGCTGTGGCTGCAGCTGCAGGTGACACCCCAGCTTCCTTGGGGGGTCTGGATGTGGCCATGGGCCAGACTGAGTGCAGGAACTGTGCCGGGGCACCTGAGAGGGCTAAGGGCCAGCGGCGGGCAGAGGATGGGCTGGCAGAGCCTGGTGAGAGGACTGCAAAGCTGGAAGAGAAATACCCAGCTAAGGAAGAGTCATCCAGCACTGCTCAGCCCTTACTCAGTGGTTTCAACGGCACTGAGTGTTCGGATGGGGAGGATGCAAATGTAGGAGTGGTACTGGCCTGTGATGGTGCAAATGCAGGTGGTGACATTGGCAGTGTCTCTGTTGACCTTTGCAAGACCAGCAGTAAAAAAGAGACTGATGTGGACTCGTGCACTGCTCAGGTAAACGGTGACTTCAAGGAAAGCCAGGGTGATGCCAGTGTCACAGCGAGGCAGGAGGTTACTGCAAGCACTGCAGAAGCATTGCCAGCAGTGAATGGGATGCAGGTTCCTGCATGGACATCAAAACCTGCTGCTGGTTTGGAAGTCCATGGCAGCAGTGAGAGTGGGGAGCAAGAAGTGCTGGTGGAAGCAGGCTGCACAGATGGAAAATCCAGCCTGCCCTCATTGGAAGGCAGTGTGGAAGCTGATGGCCCTGATGCTGAACCTGAAAACAGAGATGTTGGTGGATCTAATGAAAGTGGTGCAGAAGCTGCACATTGCCAGGAGAGTGGTGAGATTGCTGACCATGGGGCTGCAGCCACGGAGAGCAGTGACAAGGAGCCAGTAGGAACTGATACCAGCAGCTGTAGAGATGGAGGAAGCAAAGATTCTGCAAGCGGTGATCAGGAAGTTGCTGCCTGTGCCCCTTCTGCTGCTCAAACTGGTGTTAAAGGTGAAATGGGCAACAGCTTCAAGCCAGACACTGCTCAGCAGGGTGAACGTGAGGAACGTGAGCCTGCATCGCTCCCTCCAGAGGAAGCGAGCACAGGCCTGGCAGAGAAAGAGCCTGCCCAGGCTGGAGCAGAGAAAGCAGAAAGCACTTCAGAGCAGGAGGGGAGGAGCAGCAAGGTGGAATCTCCCTCTCCCCTACCCAGAGGAGAGGGGCCGGCTGTGAGTCAGGAGGGAGATGCTGCAGTGGCACCTCCCGGGCAGGAGGCAGCTCTGCAAGGTAACGACCCTGGATCAGCTCCATGTGCCAAGGGCGCAGACTGTGCCGAGGATAATTTAATAGGCACACCCTCTGCAACTCATAATGAGGAATCTAAACAAAAGCAGGAAGCGGTGGCGGTGAGGGCAGGCTCGGCAGAGCTCGCCTGGCAGCACGGTGGGGAGCATGGTGGGGTAGCTGCCCCCTGGCCTGGGGACCATGCTGGGGACGAGGGCTCCCCGGGGCAGGGCCACTCGCAGCAAGTTGAAGGAGGCAAAGCTGAGCCTGAGCAGGAGGCTCATGTGAATGGCAGTGAGCAGGTTTTGTCAGAGGATCTTCTTGCTGCTGTTGTGAAACCCTCTGCCTGCAGTCTGGGGGGTCCTGTGGTGGGCAGCAGCAGTGTGGATGCTGGGCTGAAAGCGACACACCAACCCGAAGAAGATTGCAAGGCTGGAGCAGCGGCTGCAGCAGAAGGCACCATGCATGGGCCTGCATCAGCAGATGAGTCACTGGGTGCAGAGAGTGACCCTTGTCCCAATGCTGGGCTGAACCAGGAACAAGACCCCACTGAAACCCTACAAGGAATGTCCCCCCACAGCAGCACCCCCGAGTTAAAGGATGCCTCAGAGGCGGGAGCCCCGAGCGATGCCTGTGAGGGTAAGGAGGTGCCAAGGCCAGTGACAATGGCCCCTGTTGCAGTGTATGCAGAGGAGCAAGAGGACACGGAGAGCGTGCTGCCCCGGGCAGCGCTCCAGCCCATCGCAGAGGAGCCCACGTGTGACAGCGACTCCAGCACCGACACCGTCTGTCCGGCCGGTGACAGTGACACTGCTCCTGCCCTGACAGGGGCACAGGGGGAGGCCTTGGCTGAGCCCGATGGAAAGCAAAGCCCAGCTGTACCTGCAGTGCCCTTCTCGCCGTGTTCCTGCCACCTGCAGGCTGTGGAGTCACTGGAAAATGTGGGAGTGAAGAGTTTGGTATCGGCTAATGGTGCCTCTTCTCTGGATAAAGTTCCTAAAATGGTCAAAAGTTTTGATGCAGTGGTTTTTGCAGCAGAGACACCTTGTTCCTCTGAAGTACCTGCTGCCGAAAAAGTGGGGCTTGAGCCCCAGATTGCAGTAGATGCCAGAGCCAGCCTTAATGGACAAATGGATTGCAGTTCCTCAGCAAAGAAGAATGTGAGCCTGCAAGGAGCTGAGCCTGTTACAGGTAGGAAAAATCAATTGGTTTTTTACTTTTTAGGTTTTTCTTTGTAGGCGTGTCTCTGTCACGTCATCAGCAAAGAAAGGAAGGATGAGCTGGATGCTTGTGTTGGAGAGGAAGTGTTTGAGGTTTTTCTTCTGGGAAACAAAAAATTTGTAGTTACATATAAAAACTTCCAATTCAAATACATGTTGCTTGTCTGGCACTGGAGGTAAGAACACAGCATCATCTCCTATGAATTCGTACAGAATTTCTAGCACGTAAATCCTTGCTGGAGAAGAAATGAATGGGCTTGAGCTATTTGGATTACTTTATCTTAAAGTTACAAGCTTTCCTGTGGGCATGAGGGTGTTACTCCTTCATTTTTCCCCTTTATTTTTGCTGGTGTGGAACCAGTGGGTACAACGAGGCTCTCCTGATTTTCTTTACTTGTCCATGTGAGCCAGCTGCCAGTGTCCCTCTGAACTGCCTGAAGTTGCTTCCTAATTGGCAGCATTAGGTCATTTAAAACAGCCAGTGAGCCCTTCCCCCGCTCCTTTTCCGGGCTTCAGAGCTTTTTTTTGTCAGGCAGAGCAGCTGGTGGTGTTTGCCAGTGCATTTCAGCAGCGCTGCACTCGGGTGATGAGTTTTCCTGGCTCCTGTGGGCTGGGAAGAAGGACTGGCGTTCCCCATGGATGAGTGGTGATGGGAGAGAGCAGTGGCACTTGGGGGACAGCATAGAAGCCTCGGGTCCATGCAGCAGAAGCTGATGGAAAACATCACCAGGTAACTCCAGGAAGGGAGGTGAAGGATTACATTGAATGAAAAAGAAATGGGTTTGTTGCACCAGCCTGGGATTTAATAGTAGGTGAATTTGGTACTGAAGCATGGAGCTAATCTGATCTGTGTATCCCACCTGTTCAGGCAGCTGTTAAATGGAAGCAGCTGAACTTTTTCAGTTGCCATTTTTTCTTTGCTCTGAGAAAATGATACAGTACCTCTTGCTTTCTGAGCACCTAACAAGCAAACAAAGCAAAGCATTTAAATGATTTAAAGAAAAACTGCCATGATATAAATCATGAAGTTGTGAAGTTATAAAGCTGTTTCACTGCTCTAAGGCTGAGAGTTGTTTCTTCAGTCTAAGTGCAGCATGGGGTGATGGTAGAGAATTGGTTCTGATATGTGACAGCAGAATAACTGAGGGCAGGAGAAAGGCTTGGAGGGAGGGGGGTCTCAGTGGAGGGTCCAGCAAATACACTTTCTGTTGAGTTCAGGATTTTTAGGATATTTGTGTGTCAAGAGCTCACCAGTAAACATGAGTCAAGAGATCACTAGTAAATAAGAAATACCTAAAAGTGGATTAGAAAGCTGTTTTCAGAAGGAACCTGTTTTAATGCTGTGTTAATTTGACAGTTCAATAGATGGGAGTGGCTGTAAGCCAATGCTTGGCTGGGCTCCTTTTCCTAGGAGCCTCTGGCTCTGCCAGCTGTATCTGTACAGTCCAGGTCTTTACCTCTGGTTGGATTCTTGGAGCCATGACACTGTTTAGGTGAGGTTTCAAAAGAAAAGGGACCAGACAGTCCAATAAGATAGTAGCTAAAGCAGGAAAGTAATGTTAAGTCATCATTCTGTATTAGGATATGGAAAGAGGAGAAAAAATGGAGGTGATCCTGTTACTGATTTAAAATACATAAGGATTTAAGGCTGAAAGGTCTTGGAATAAAATGGTCTGACATGTCCTTAAGCAGAAATTGTTTATGCACAATGAGATGCCACACAAAACAAAATTCAAATTGTAGTATTTTCTCTTGAAGTACTTTAGGATTATTTTATTCAAAATGTTGGGGAAACCCAAATAAAAAATTGGCCTTAAGCAGAGGCAAGTGACTGCTATGAATCCAAACTCACTATTTGGAATATTTCTGACACTGATCTCCTATAGAGCACCATCTAGAACTCTGATATGGCAGTAATTCAGTAGAACTGATTTGTTGCTTATAATTATTGCAGTGTATATTTTTCATGTTGGTGTCTAGCCTTGGGTAGCATGTTTTTCTGTGAGCTCAGTGGCAGCCTCAATTTTTTTCTGCTGTGGCAGTTCTGGGGAGTTTTCCCTGAGGTCTGGATTTGTACAGAGGATTTTGTATCCATGCCGGACTCGGACTCGTCAGTTCTCAGGATGAATCACATCTTTTTTTGGTGGAATACAATAAAACCTTCCCAAAGGAAGTGTAGGTCACAAGGCCATTTCTCAGAAACTCGTGTAGTCAGAGGGGTTTATTGTCATGGTAATTTATCAGCGATGTAATCAGCTGATAATTGCTGTTGCCATTACTCCAGATCATTGAAGTCTTTAATTTTTTTATTTATATTGTGAAGCTGCTCCCAAATATACACCTGTTTATCTCATTGCCTTTGCTTAGTTTCCGCCTACCCCCAAAACAAAGACTTCAAAAGGCTAATTTCCTTATCCAGACAGGTATCTAGTGACTGGTCACAGCCCTGACGGAAGCTGATGAAGGTAGATCCTGCTTTCCTGAGGCATCTCCTCCTACTGTTAGCTTTAGACTCAGAACTGCATTAGAGCTGAGTAATGGGTTCTGCAAGCACATTATCTGCAAGTCAGGCAGGTAGATGCTACTCATTAAAAAAGAAAGGAGTTAGGTTATGAAATCATCCCACAGTAGCCTGGCTGGATGAGAAGAGAAGAGATGCCATGGGTTTGTGCTGACAGAACACCTTGGAGTAGTTGCAATTTCTTGGCAGAAACCAAACCAAGCAAGGTTAGATTGTATGGTTGGGGTCTGCGGTCTTAAATAACAAATACTGTAATTACTGCTCCTTAGCTGTTCTCCTGGGAGAAATATCTCCTGTAGGTCTCAGCATTTCAAGAAATATTCCTTGACAGAAGAATATCACCTTGTGAGTCTTCACCTTGTTCTGTAATATTGGTACAGTCCAATATCACCTCATTCTTATTGGTGGCATTTTCCCTATGGAGAAGCTCTTGGAATGATTTCCTTCCCCTGTTAGAGTAGCAGGATGAGCAGGTAACAAACGTCACTAACGGTGCCACACTTGCAATAAGAGGCACTATGGCCAGAGACCTCTGTGATAGCTTTATAGTGCTTTTCCTTTGGTATATTTCTTAATAGAAATTTAGGAAGAAGTAACAGAGTGAAAAAATTGTCTTGAATTTCATCCTGAGGGCAAAATGTCTTCATCCTCCATTTCTTACCCAGCAGTGTGAGCTTGCTTCTCCTGTCCTCAGTGCACCAAATGTTTGTTGCTTGCATGTTCTGTCTTTGGATCAGGATTTCAACCATGGTGGCATTGCCATGACCCGAGCACATCTCCCAGCAAATGGAATTCACAGAAATTTGTAGCATTATCTCTGATTTTTGAGTCTGCCCACAAATCCATGTAATCGAGGCAAAATCATTGCAAAACCAGATGGTCCCAAAAAAAAGGGTAGACATTAAAGGCAGTGGAAAACCATTAGTGACGATTGTTAGGAGGATTTCCCCATGGAGATGGGAGGCTCCTCTTGCTAAATCCCTGTAGGGGTAAACTCACTGCGAGCATACGTCGCCCTTAAGAAGGCGTTGTCATCCATCCAGTGTTTGTTTTTAGTAGAAATGAGAGAGGGAGTGGGATTAGAGGGGGGGTTTGGCCCTGACGCAGCCACTCTCCATCTGGGTGGCTTTGGTCAAATCACTTCACTCCTCTGAAGTGTCCTGTGTGTCATGAGAGTCCTTAGCTTAGGGATGAAAGGGAGTGACGATGTTGACTTCCTGCCAGAGAAAGGTAAGCAGGGGGAACCCCTGGGGAATGGTGACTAATGAAAACTTGGCTGGGCAGAGGAAGCAGCTGGAACATGAAATTTGTACAACTGTGGAGGTGACACCGTCACAGGAGAGTGGAGAAGGGGGAAAGTCAGCTGCGACTTTGTAAACTCCAGCAGCAAAGGTTTTGCTTTCCTAGTCCAGGGTGGTAATTCTCTCATCTGTAAGGCAGTGCAAGTGGCTTTGAGTTTTTGCAGTGATTTTTTTTTTTTTTTTGCAATGCTTATAATACCTATTGAGGGCAGACAAGGCTAGTTTCTTGTGTTATCTTTGGGTTGTGGTAAGGAGAAAAATAGCAAAAAAGTTTGATTCTTTACGTAGATGAATGGGAGCCAAGAAAATACATGAACAAATACCTGCACATGTGCTTGGCCTCACCTACATGTTGTCAGGAGTTTCACCCTATGTTCACTGCTGTTTCCTAGTTTTCTTCAGTCCCAGGTAGGATAGTTAAAATGAATAGCAAGGAAGCAGTGAAGTCAGCAATTAACCCAAAGTTTGGAAATCAAATGGCCTTGTAAGGGTTCAGATGGACTTGTTGAAGGGCCTTGGGGGTTAGGTTTTCTTTTCTTTTTTTTTTTGGGGACTGGTTTGAGTAAACAAAAAAATGTTAGTAGCAATGAAAGAAGTTCATTTTTTTGTGGACCTTCTGTTTGCACAGGAATGTTGGAAATGAAAACTGAGGACGAGGTGGATTTTCAGAAGAACTGCACAGAGGAAGTGGTGAGTGCAGGTGTTGTCACCTTGTCCTTTGCTGTGCTGTATAAAGAAATGTCACTGCTGCTGTGACCTGCTGGTTTCCTTTCTATAGCCTCTGCAAAGCTGCATGATGCCCACTGACATTGCTTTAACCTTTTAAGGATAGCCTGGGCTTTTTTAGCCCTTGCATTTTCAACTGCTGGATTCATTTATGTTTTCTCAGCCAGTCACAGACAGATTGAGCCAAGAGGTTCCTCATGGGGCAAGATTGTACCAAGATTTGTGTATGATTTGTATGAAAAGCCATGTCCTGGAATGCACTTGAGATTGGTGATGCTGTGTGGGGCCAAGAGCACCTTCAAGGTCCCTGCACTGCTGCAGGGTGGTCCTGGAGAGTCTGTCCATCCCTCCTGGTTCTTTGTGTTTCCAGGGAGGTTTTGGCAGAAGGGGCAATGGCTGTGGTTTATGTTGGTGTGTGCACAGACTCCAGAGTCTAAAGGCATCATGGGCTGGGAGTGTTTGTGCCTTAGCTGGAAGAAAAATGAATAATGGGAGGATATATAGGGATCAAATGTGGGGGGAAAGGCCATATTCCTGATGGCACTGAAACAATGTAAAAGGTCATGCCAGGAATCAGGAATCCATTGGTAATTGTATTTTATTACTGTGCTTTGCCATATTTAAGGATTGTCTGTGATAAAAAAAAAAAAAGGTTGATATTTAGTTTTGCATGAACATAATTTTCATTTAAAGCATCAGTAATACAAATTCCACTTTGCCAGTAGCTGTGGTTCTTTTGGTCTTACCTTTCCTGGATGGATTTGTGTTTGCTTCTGTATTTTAGGTGTGGTTTCATATTCCTGAAAAAGTGTTTTGTAAATGGCAAATTGATGGCAGCCTTGTGTTGGAGCACATTGCCTTTGAGCAGCTGTGTTTGTGTCTTCCCTACCATTATGAAGCTGTTAAAAGAGAAAATACTGTTGGGATGAGTTTCCACTGCAGGGTGGAGCTCCAAAAATCTTTGCTCATCATGCAGTAAAGCTCTTTGAGCAGCAGAACAGTCTTGCCAAAGCTTGTAATAAAATCAGGTGTATTATGTTTTTAACAAGTTAAGGCTTAATTTCTGTAGCTGTTTGCTTGGTGAGTTAGTGAGGGACTAGAGAAAATAACTTTCCAAGCCAAAATTTGTGCTGTCTGATATGGAAGTGTTTCATTACTGGAATGTGTGAGTGGAAAGATGCTACTGATTTTTTTTTTTTTTTTACTGACCCTTTATTAAAGGTAATTTTCCTGACCAATACTTCCAAATCTGGTAGTGAAGTAAGAAATCTTTAGAAAACGCAATTGAGGACATGGTCTTTTGCTTTCAGACAAGGAGAAAAGAAAAAAAAAGTATTGGATTTAGCTTCCATTTCACATGTTTTACAGGCATTTTGGGTTTTGTATGTGTGCTTTCTCCTCTTCTTCCTCTCCCTCCCACACTGTCAAACACCTCTTTAGAAATCTGGCTTTTCCGAGGCAGGAATGGGAGTGCCAGGGGAATGGAAAGTTTGCTGCAGAACTGACAGGGTTTCCTGTTGCTAAGTTCAACAGAAACAAAATAACAACTGCACTATATTAAGGTCATTAAAAAAAAAAAAAAAAAAAAAAAAAAAAAACCCCAAAAAAAAAAAAAAGCCCAACCAAAAAGGAGTGGAAGGCTTATAAATAGTTTAGTTCACACATGTGGGCTGGTCAGAGGCAGCCGGTGAAAGCCACCATCGCGCTTTGTGCCTTTCCTGCCACGTCCTGACTCTGCTTTATTTAGTGCTGCTGCTTTTTGTAGCCAGGAGTCTTTCAGGTGTTCAGTGGATTCTCATTACAGAGCCATTTTGTGGTTAGTAAAGGTGGTTTTCTTAACTTGCTGCAAATAGAAGTGTTGTTGCTTGCCCCTGGTCAGGAGCTGCAGGTAGTTTGCAGCCTCGCTGGCACTGTCGGCAGTTTTGGATCGTGGGAATTATCGGTAACTCCTGTTTTATGGGTGAGAAATTTGTGCACTGCTTTTCATAAGCACAAGTTACTATAAAAAAAAAACAGTCTTGGAATTTAAAAGTGCAATTTCATGTATAGTTCAGTCAGGCTGAAGGACAGTAGCTTGAGTACTCTGAAGAGACAAGGGGAAAACTCTTTCTTTAAGCTAGGTTCTGAAGAATGAAAAACTGTGAAGCATTTTTAGAATTAGCTGGATCTGTGATGCCAGTGTTACAGATGTGAGATCTCACACTTTCTCTTATAGTCGTTTCAGAAGATTCTTGCACCTCATGGAAAAGCTGCTGTTAAAAAATGTTTAGCAAAGTAATGGTCTGTCGGGTTTTAAGCAATGAAGAGAAAATAATGGAAAAATGTTTTTTCCAATTAAAATGAGTTTTTAAGTTTATTTCTTAAATTTCCAGAATCTTTTCTCAGGGTTTGTATCTGTTCAGCTGTAAAACTCAGTAATCAGAACTTCCCAGGCTTGCATGTTGTTTATCCTGATGGAGACTCTCCTGGTCCTTATCTTCCTGCTTAGTTTGGGAATCTTGAGTAGAGCTGGACAATCACTTGATATGATCTATTAAAATGAGACTTTAGTGTTTTTAAAATGGAATAATTTTTAACTCTGATAAGAAATTTGGTTTGGCTTCTGCATGCTGTGATATTAAAATAACTTAAAATGGAGCCTGTGGCTCCAGCATCATAAAAGTAAAGCAGCAGTTTAAAATTAACTGTACCCTGATACGCTTCTCTTGTGTTGATCCCAGAAATTGGTTGTGATTTCATTATTTGCTGAATCTTTGTCTTCATGTGGCAGGATGGATAACCTTGTGCTACTGGGTTGTCTGAGCCTGTGACTGAGAAGTTGTAGCTGGCTGACCTCAGGAACAGAGTTCACTGGGAAATAGCCTTCCCATTGCATTTATTAACTATATTAGTAGTTCCTATTGAATTGAATGCATCCTACCTTTACCACAGGAATCAGTATTTAATTAGTCTGTGTTTTCAGAAATTGCTGAGAATGAAGCTTAGAAAACTCTTGCACTTACATCCCTCCACTGATCCAAGTAGTGCAGTAACAATTGATGTATCAGCAAGGTCACTTTCTGGGGGGGAAACTTGCAATATTTTCAGTCATTATTTGGAAGATGGAGGTATGTTTATAACATTCAGATGATATCTGGTCAGAAGGGATTGTAGGCACTTGACAGAACAGGGTCAGGGTTCAGAGTGACCTTAAGAAATTGGAGAGCACATCCAGATAAGAGATAAAAACAGACAGTGAGTGCTGCATTTGCAAAGGAGAAAGCAAAATGCATTTTTACCAAGTCATGTTTAAGCTGGAGAGGGATAGGTTAAAATTAGGCTGAGGATTACAAATGAACCAACTGCAAGAGATATTGCAAGAGAGACAAATCTTGTTTGGAGTAATATTTGAAGGAGTGTCCTCCGTAAGGTGCAGGAGGTGACTTATGTGTGTGGCATTGTGGAGCCATCATCAGTGCCATCAAATCCAGTTTGGGGTGCTCTGCTCAGAGGAAGACACAGGCAGATTGGAAAGTGTCCAGAGGGAAACAATGAGAAGAGATTAAGAAACGTGAGAAGAGATTGAAAGAACTAAATTTGTTCGATGCAGCAAAAAGAAAACCATTGTGCAATCCAGCAGTCTGCCAACATGTAATAGTGGTTATTAAAGTCCCAGATTTCCATGGCAGTTTAATTTACTGATTTGCTAATTTGCCAGGATGATTTAGGCTGTTGTGAAAACATCCTGTTACCATCATAAAACTGTTGCAAGACCACCTAGGGAGGCCAGGAAACCTTCCCTGGGAGTTGCTAGAGATAAGAGAGATGATGCTGTCAGGACAGAGCCTCAGGTCTGTTGTTGCCCCTTGGTTTTGGTTTGTAGGCCCCCATATTGATGCTTTGCTGAACAGGGAGAAGAGCAAGGAGCTGCTTGGCCAGAGTCTGGCAGGGTGAGCAAAGGAAGGGGACTGGGACAGCAGGACTGCAGGAGATGAGGGTGGGAAGAAGGGGATGGAAAAGAGCCTATGGGAGAGGGTGAGACCCGCATGGTACTGAGATGAGTGTTGGGATGGACAGCAGGTGTGGAGAATACAGAGATTTTTCCTTCCCCCAATTGTAATCTCTCATATTTCTCTTCCTTGGAGTCATCAGATAAATGAATAAAATTCTGGCCAAGGTGTACAGTGTCACCCACCTCCTGTGGCTGGTGCTGAGGAGCAGAGTCTGGTGCAGTTCCAGACTACTGAACCTTGCTGGTGACCCAAGGCAAGGGATTGTTATAGTTCTCCAGGCACCAATTTATTAGGAATTAACTATTTTAACAAACTGCTCACCCTGAGGACCTGACAAAATTCAGTTTGTCTGTATGCACTGAAGTTCATTTTCTCCATCTGCATGGGTGTACACATGTACATACTACAGGATGGAGGATGCAATTCCCTTTTTTCCAGAGGACCTGTAGAATAGCAAAGGAATTTCCTCAACAGCTTGGGCAATTTCAGAGCAAGTGGCTGAAGTGTTGGAATCAAATCAGAGCCGGGTCTGGTGGTGGAAAGCACAACCTTAACAATAGGCTGTGTTCTCACCCTGCCTTTTTAAAATCACTTGTGTAACCCTCTCTTTGTAAATGTTGTCCTGTAACTACAGTAAACATGGAAAATCCGAGCCAAAAGGGAGCCTGCCCTAAGCCTGGCATTAATGCTGGAGGCTGACACACGCTTACCCATCGGGTCAGGGCTTTGGGCTAGTCATCTGCCAAGCCCTTTCTCACACCCACCAGCATCCTGTGTCTGCCCCGGATGCTCCGAGCAGAGGCTTTGAGCTCTGTGAGGGAATTGTGTCAGCTGGCCAGCCCTGAGTGAATTCATGGCTGTGTAGGACAGATCACCCTGGCTTTCGCCGGCTGCTCTGGGCATCGCCACACAAGCTGCAGGGAGCGAGAATAAAAGCTGGGGGAAGGAAAAGAAAAAGAAACTCAAACCAGG